GGAGAAGGAGAAGGAGAAGGAGAAGGAGAAGGAGAAAAGAGAAGGAGGAGAGTTTCAGTTGAAGCACAACCAACTACAGGTACAACTGCCCCTACAGAATCTCATTTATTTACTCCTGAGCATCCCCTAAAGGGCAGGTTCCTCCATCTCTCTGTAGCTCACACCTTTATCCTGCAGAAACCCAAAACATGAACCCATTAGTGGATTTTGCAGGGTTGAGAGCCCAAACAGCACAGAAAACTCCCAAAACAGAGGTGTGATTTATCCAAATCCTCATCCTGCCCTGAGTGGCCACTCACAGATGCAAATTCCTGCTCGTGGACCCATCTGCTGCCATTGGATTTGCAGCGTCAGCATCTCAGTGGGGTTCAAGGAGCTCAAACATTCCATCCAAAGGAGCAGCTCCAAAATAACTTCCCCAGGAGCCTCCTTGGAGGCTCATCTCCCAAAGCAGGCACCCAAACTGCCCGGCAACGAGGAGCACAGGGACTGAAATGGGGCCAAAAATCCAATTTTATCCCATTAAATGGGAGCAGTTGGAGCCATCCCGGTTTAACCAGGACTGGGAGAGAAATCCCAGGAATCCCTGTGGGTTGGGAAACGTCCTGTCATCCCAAGTGTGAGCTGGGCCTCCCTTCCCAAAGCTTCCCAGGGGGGTGGATCCTGGTGGATACTCACGGACAATGCACTGGTTCCCTCCGGGCAGCGTTTTCCAGCCGGGACAGCAGTAGGAATGGAACCTGGAGCCGCAGACATTGGGCCTGAAAAGGAAAAATGTGGGTTTTCCTCTGGTTCTGGGCAGTCCCAGGGGGTAAATCCAGCTGTGGCACAGCTGCAGGACAGCAGGGAATAGCTCCTGCCAGGATATTCCCCTGGCAAACCCCATTCCCTGGTAAATGGGATAAGTCGTGTTTAATTCCCACTGAATTTTAATAACTGACTTGTGCCCTTGTGTGCAGAATGATCTGGGTCAAAAACTCAATTTTAAAAGCTCCAAAAGGGTTGGTGGATCTGTTTGGGTGTTTTGTTTCGGATTTTTTTTTAAATCCTGATTCATCCCCGATTGTCCAGAGCAACAAATAAATCTCATTTTCCAGGGAACAGCCTCCCTTTATTTATTTCCCTGTTATTTATTTCCCTGTTATTTATTTCCCTGTTATTCTGCCACCAGCAAGGAACACGATTTGATGCTTGGATTGAGGGGGTGAAGGGTAAATCTGGATTTTAATCCCAATTTTTCCAAAAGCCCGGGCCTGAGGTTGTCACAAACTGGGAAGAAAAGTTCACTCTGAGCAGAGGAGGAATTTTAACTGATATCCACATATTATATATATATTTATATGTTTAAACTTACAGTGAATTTATACATAATATATATTTATAATGAATTTAATACATAGAGATATATAGACAGATATATCCCTCTATTTGCTAGGAAGAGTGGGATGAGATTCCAGAGGAGAGGAGAACACGGTGTTGCCACCAAACAGCCAAGAAAATGCTGTTTACAGAGGGATTTTAACTAATGTACAAATATATTTATATTATATATAATTGATAATTTTATAGTCATAGCAAATTTATATCTAATCTATATTTATAATTAATTTATATCTAATATATTTGTGCTTGTAGTGAAATTATATCTAATCTATATTTATATATTAATATTAAAATAGTATTAATATTAATGTTAATATTAAACACATTTATATGTATATAAATATATTTATATATTTACCCATATAAATATATATTTCTATATTTACCTATATAAATATATATTTATAGTGAATTTTTAATGTCAGGTCCTGCAGAATCTCATTTCAGCACAGGGATGGGACCAACCACCCAAAGAACATTAATTTTTAACATTAATGCACCAACAGTCATCCAACCTTGGCCTCAGGATACCTCAAACCTTGGTGGAGATTAAAGAATATTCCAGAGCCATTTTATCAGGCAAAAGACTCGGAGAGGTTTTAGTTTTGGGGGTTTTTTTTGGCCAAAATCAATGAAGGAAGAGGAATCTGGCATCGATCCTGTGGGTCAAGACAGAGGGAAGTTGAATGAAATCGGTAACAAAGTGGAATATTTTGAATTTTGGTGGTAAATTCCGGTTCTTTCCAAGTGAGATTCACCCAAGGATTCCATCCAGGGATCTGGGAGAGGTCCTGGGCACCCTTTTCCATGGAGGGTCAAACTCCAAAATCCCAATTTTTCCTCCCAAACCGGCCCTTTTGGAAGCATATGCTAAAAATTAGCCAGAGTTTCAAAACAAACCACGGGGAGAATCCAGTTTGAATGGGGCTGAGATTAATCTGGTGGCCCAGGAATGACCTGGAGGGAGAATGAAATCGGATTCCAGAGCAATAACTCAGCGAGGAGAATGGTGTTTTGTAAGGAAAATAAAACAATAAAATAACATCTTCAGCAGATTTGGGACAGAAACGCTTTTTAAAATGAACACAGTTGTCTCCAGGCTGGGAAATACAAGCTGGAATCCCATCAGTGGGGATAAAAGGGATGTCGTGGAATGATGGAATCCTGGAATGGGTTGGGTTGGAAGGGACCTTAAAAATCATCCAGTTCCACCCCCTGCCATGGGCAGGGACACCTCCCACTATCCCAGGTTGCTCCAACCTGGCCTTGGACACTTCCAGGGATGGAGCAGCCACAACTTCTCTGGGAATTCCATCCCAGTCCCTCCCCACCCTCCCAGCCAGGAATTCCTTCCCAAGATCCCACCTAAATTTCCCCTCTTTCACTTTGAAGCCATTCCCTGTGTCCTGTCCCTCCATCCCTTGTCCCAAGTCCCTCTCCAGCTCTCCTGGAGCCCCTTCAGGCCCTGGAAGGGGCTCTCAGGTCTCCCTAGAGCCTTCCCTTCTCCAACCTGCCCTTGGACACTTCCAGGGATGGGGATGGAACAATCAGTCCTCAATTAAAAAAACCAAGAGGGTTTTATAACCCTCCTCAGCCTCAGCTTTGCTTCCTTCCTACCAAGGGGGTCTTATCCAGAGCAGATGTATTCCAGGAGCATTTTTCCATGGATGTGCTGCTGAGGTGGTGCCAATTCCCACAGGAATTTTCCTTTGGGTGTCAGAGCCCTGGAGATAAGAGCCCTCTACCCTAATCCAAGCTGGTCCTGGTTTAATCCCTGGAGCAGCCAGTGAGAAGCTGAAAGAGTCACATTTGTGCTGCTTCTTCCCAGCAGCGTTTTCTGGCAAAAGGACCCACTGCTGGTCCAGCCCCTGGTTCAACTTCTGCAAAACTGGACCTGGGATCATCCCTGAAAAGGCTGGAAGGGCTCAGCTGCTGGAAGGAACTTTTTAAATGCCAAGGAAGGACAGAGGAAAAAGCAACTCTGGCTATGCCAGTCCTCTTTGCCCTCTTTAAATGAACAATGGGATTGAGGAGATAAGCAGGGACAGAGCCAGCAGGAATTTCAATGATGGCACCAAACGCTGCCCTCTGGCAGTGCCTCCATCGGAGAGAGCTGGAAAATGCCAAGGAAAAAAAAAAACAACCACGGGAACGGAGCAGAGCTGCGGCCACGGGATGTGAAACGCTGCTGGCAAGGGGAGCCCTCCTCCCAAATCCACAGGGGCTGGGAGGGAGGAGAGAGGGCTGGGACACGTTCCCTGCCTGCAGGCTGGGGGTGCCAGCCCTCCCGTGGGCACAGGGCACGAGGGGCTGCTGGAAAAAGCTGGAAAAAACAACCTGGAGTGGTTGTTTATGGACCGAGTGAGGAGCTGGAAAGGGCTCAGCCCTGCCAGTTATGGGCAGAAGCCGAGTGTGACTCGAGCAGGACTGGACTCGTTGTGAAAGGTGGGACTCCCCAGGGTGAGGAGTCTCTGCAGGCTCAGACTGCAGCCAAAAAATGGTCACAATCACCCCAAAGTCACCAAAGTGAAGTCCTCAAAGTGAAGTCACCAAAGTTAAGTCACCCTGAGTTTCCTGCTCCCCCGCAGCTTTTTGTCCCCAACACACACACACACCCCCCAAGGTTTTGCCATGGGAGACAACTCCCAGCTGGAGTGAAGCCCCCAAATCCTCCCCAGAAAGCTCTGCCCAGTCACTAATTGGGGGAATAACCGGTTTCCCAGGAGCACTTTTCCTCCCACAGCTAATGAACCCCCGGCTGCAGGGGGTGGGAGTTTTCCAGACAGCAGGAGCAGCAGCTCAGGATTTGTCTCCCCTGTCAGGGGCAATCAATGCACCTCAGTGGTCACCAGCCTTCCCAAAGTGCTATTTCCACTCCTTAAAATTACAGGAAGGCAGGAATAAATGAAAATTGGTGGATTGCCAGGGCTGGGTGGGGGGGAACTCTCAGAGATGTTCTGCTCCTCTCAGGGCTTTGCTGCCCTGGCCGCTCCTGCATCCTCCTCCTCGCTGGCCTCGTTCAGCACGTTAATTCAGGAAGAATTCATTGCTTTGGGACAATTTCCTGCTCTTCTCACCAGCTGGAGAGACCCTGAGATTCCCTGAGGTGTAAACCTGGAATTAGCTTTGCTTGCGCGCTCAGAGGTCCAGCAAATGCTGTTCCCAACTCTGCCTGGAAAAGTTTGGGATGGATTATCTGCTACCTGAGCAGAACCCAGTCATCCTTCCTTTTTCCTCCCTGCTACAACCTCAAACTTGGTTCTGTTGGGTAAAAACACGTCCCCTGGGCACGGGGAATCTCCTGGGCACCACTCTCCAAGGTGGAGATGCTAAGGAAGGACAGAGGGAAAAGCAACTCTGGCCATACCCATCCTCTTTGCCCATTTTTCCCTGTTCAATGGGAAAAGGAGTCTGAGATAAATCCAACAGCACTGAGTGATGGTTCCCTGGGCCAGTTGGGGTCTCTTGGCAAGGGCAGAGATGCCACCACATCACCTCCCTCTTGCAGGTTCCTCCCTGGATGAGGAGGAGTCCCAGTTCCAGTTTGGGTGCCCTCGGAAACTCAACTGCTCCTTTTTTTGGGAACTAAGACTTGGATAATAAAAGGATCGTTTGCTTTTTTCCCCCCGGGCCCCAGATGGGAGTCAGGCAAGCGACCAAGCCCGAATTCCTTCTTCTCCAAGTGTTTCAAACAAAACACTCCCTCAAATCCCCCCTCCTGCCCTTGCCAAAGCACAACCGTGCGGGCGACGGCGAGGCCGGAGCTCAGCGAGCGGCAGCTTTCCCGGGATCCGGAGGATTTCGGGATGAGAAATCGTGGACTGCTTCGGGTTGGAAGAGATCTTAAAACTCAACCTGTGGCCAGGGACACGTCCCACTAGCCCAGGTTGCTCCAAGCTGGCCTTGGACACTTCCAGGGATGGGGCAGCCACAGCTTCTCTGGGAAAACCTGTGCCACCGTCACAGCCAGGAATTCCTTCCCAATATCCCACCAAAATTCCCCCTCTTTCCCTTTGAAGACATTCCCTGTGTCCTGTCCTTCCATCCCTTGTCCCAAGTCCCTCTCCAGTTCTCCTGGAGCCCCTTTAGGCCCTGGAAGGGTCTCTAAGCTCTCCCTGGAGCCTTCTCTTCTCCAACCTGGCCTTGGACACTCCCAGGGATGGGGCAGCCACAGCTTCTCTGGGAATTCCATCCCAGCCCCTCCCCACACTCATAGTAAGGAATTCCTTCCCAAAATCCCATTTTAATCTCTCCCTTTTTAGTTCAGAACCATTCCCCCTGGCCCTATCAATACCTGCTCAGGTAAAAAGTCATTCTCCATGTTTATAAATGACCAAGAGATGAGAGATTTCTCACCTGGACCTCAAAATATGTCAGA